TCTTTTCTCAAGTCTGGGTAGTATCCTTATAATAATCATTGTTTTACACTCCCCATCAGGCACGTTACTTGTATCTGGTTCACTTAGATCCTCAGTCATAGCCTTGTCCTGTTTTTTTTTTTTTTTTTTTTTTTTTTTCATGTGGAAAAATTCCTCTGTCTTCACATTTTGTGTTTCTGTGCCTGTTTCCCTGGGTAATGAAAGTCAGCTACGTCTCCCCTTCTTGAGGGTAATGGCCTAATGAAGGAGAGGTCCTGTAGTGCCCTGTATTGTAGTATCCCTTGTTCCTCAGGACCTGCTGCTCCTGGGAATGTCTGCAGTGTGTGTTGTCTGTGCTCTGCTGTTGTGTCCTGACTGCTTTATCCTCCAGGCCAGCCATCTGCAGAGGCTCTGCCTGTCTGTTGCAAGTTGTGTTTGGTCCCTGGCCCAAATGTGGTATATTTTAACTAGGTGTGCTCTGGTCTATTTGTGAAATAGGAAATGTCACCACTGCCACTGGAACCAAGGCCTTGGCAAATTTGTGTTGGGAGTGTGGCATTGGCAGGGGTTTGGGCCAGCCTTCTTGGGGGAGATCCCCACCATGCTGGGACTCAGACAAGTATGACTGGGAAGGGTGGTTCCACTAGGGTGCAGGAGACAGGGCTTGGTGTAAGCAAGTTAGGGAACAAGTTCCCTGGGTACTGCACTGGTTCCCACAGGTAGCCCTGTGCTTATGCTGAGTGGTGAGTGAAGGAAATGGCTCTGCCAGCTCCTTTATTCCTGGAGAGGTCTCTCTGTGAAGGCTGCCTCTTTGCCACATGGTCAAAGATAAACTAACCTATTATGTGCCCCATGTTCTCATTAGATCGCTGTTTCCACACTGTATGTCCATAGGCTATTTGTCCTTCCTTTCCTCTGGGAAGTAGTCCCAATGTCCTCCAAGCTTTCCCAGAACCAAACACACTAACCTTTAACACTCCAGGCTTTAAGTCCCATTGGTTGTAAGAACTCATGAAATTCAGGCCTTCTCACATTCCAAGCAAATTGCTATGGGGATTAGTTTTCCCTGTGTGTTAGTCTCTTGCCCTTCCCTGGGACTCTGGCTCCCTCCTTACTGCAACAGCCACAATCCATTTCTCTCCCAAGCTGAATCTCCACACTTCCTACCTTCTTTTATGTGGCTCTTTTCTACCTTTAGTTGTGGAGCATTATCAGTCTTCAGATTGATTTCTGGGGTGTTTGACGACATATGATAGCTATGTCATTGTGTTCATGGGACATGGTGAGTTGAGGGGACTGCTACTCTGTTGTCATCTTCCCCTCTCAGATTGTTCCTTCTTAATGTAGGTTTTTGACCACTATAAACTTACACTGGAACTGCTTTTGTTGCATCCCCTAAGATTTGGTAGGTTGTATTTTCATTTGTCTTCAGGTATTTTGACCAATTGATAGTTCAGTAGCATGTTTAGTCTTCACACATACATCATTTTTCTCGTTTTTTTCCCTTGTATTTTACACCATCAGAAAAGATACTTGATAGGATTGAAAACTTCTTAAATTTATTAATATTTGTTTTATAGCCTAACATATGATCTATACTGGAAAATGGTCCCTGTTCATTTGCGAATGTCTATTCATCTGGTCTGATGTTTTCTTTTTGATTTTCTGTCTAGGTGACCTATCTACTGATGAAAATGGGGAGATATACCCTATTATTGCTATTTCTACCTTGAAGTCTTAACATTTGCTTTATATATTTAGTTGCTCCTAATTTAGGTGCGTAATTGTTGGGTTGATCCCTTTATCATTATATAATGAGCTTGTCACTTATTACAATCTTTCTCTTAAAGTATATTTTGTCTAATAAGCATAGCTAGATCAGCTTTTGGTTTCCACTGGTAACAACTTCTTCCTTCTCTTCACTTCTGGGCTAATGTGTGTCCTTAGAGCTGTAGTGTTTCTAGTAGGCAAGCAGATCATTGGGTCTTGTTTTTTTAATCCATCCAGCTATTCTATGTATTTTGAATGGAGAATTCATTTATATTTAATTATTGATGGGGAAGGCCTTACTATCATTCTTATTTGTTCTCTGGCTGTTTTATAGTTCTCTTGTTCTTGCTCTCTTGCTGTCTTATGAGTGTAGAGATTCATTTTATTCTATTCTCGTTAACTTTTGTGCATCTATTACAGGTTCTGCTGTGTGATCACCATGAGTCTTACATAGAACATCTTTATATATATCAGTCTGATGCTAACAATTAAATTTTACCCTCCTACAAAAACTACCCTTTTACTCCTTTATTTGATGTCCGAATTTAAGTCTTTTTAGTATGAACAATTATAGTTTTACGACCTTTGTCTTTCAAACTTTATACTAGATTTATAAATGATGGAACCACCAGCATCACATTAGAGTACAGTGATTTTAAGTATATACTTTGGCCAGTGAGATTTATATTTTCACGTTTTGTATTGACTAATGCCTTTTCATTTCGGTTTGAGTCCCATTAATATTCCTTGTAAAGCTTGTCTAATGGTGATGACTTCCTTCAGCTTTTGCTTATCTGGAAGACTCTCACTTTTAATTCTGAAGGACAGTTTTCTGGGTGTTGTTGGTTGGCAGTCTTAAAGTTTCCTCCTTGTTGTGATAATGCACCAGGGGATGGGGTTAATGATGAGATTGTGCCATAGCTTCTCTTGCCCACTCCAGTGTGTGTGTGTGTGTGTGTGTGTGTGTTCTCATTTACCTGATGTGTAAGAGTCACTTGGCTGGTGTCTGGATTTCTTTCAGAGGGAATAGTTTTGTACATATCTGTATGTTCAGTGTGTCCATGGGAGAAGGTGAATTCAGGAGCCTATCTATCTCACTACCTTCTGTTGGAACCGATACATATATTTTAGTATTTTACCTCCTCACATAAAATGTTTGGAATAGCAGTTATTTAATGAAGAGTTCTCTATCAGTAATTAACATGGAAAAATTTTTCATAGACATTAGCACAGATCTTTTTGAATAGGTCTTTTGATCTTTTTTGAAGAGGACAGCAGGTACTAAAGAATGATCAAGTGATCAGACAATGCAATGAACTGATCAAGATACCATATCAGCTAGTCTGGCATCAGCCTCTAGCTGTACTTTGGGTTAATCACCTTTCACAAAATGGACCCAACTCCTTCCTAACAAGGGGACGGGGTGACAGGATAGGAATCTAAGTGCAAATCTACTGTTAAATATAAAAGAGACTCAAGTTGTGAATTACTAACATTTTTAGATATGATAATACAGTTCTATTTAGCGTGGTGGTTGACCTGTCATTACTCTTACCGAAAATAAGGTATTCACCAGAGGAATCTGGGTGTATTTAAAAGTTTCAGTATATGGGGTGCCTGGGTGGCTCAGTTGGTTAAGCGTCCAACTCCGGCTCAGGTCATGATCTCGCGGTCCGTGAGTTCGAGCCCCGCGTCAGACTTTGTGCTGGCAGCTCAGAGCCTGGAGCCTGTTTCAGGTTCTGTGTCTCCCTCTCTCTCTCTGACCCTCCCCTGTTCATGCTCTGTCTCTGTCTCAAAAATAAATAAACGTTAAAATAAAAAAAAAAAAGTTTCAGTATATGTGGAAGTAGCATATTACTACAAAGATCATTTCCTTTTCATCTTCAGAATCACTTATAGGAATCACTATAGAAAATTTAAAATGCACTTTGTTAATTTAAACTTTGTACTATATAACAGGATGGGCCAAATAGGTCTAATTTAAGACATTTACCTGAGTTTGGTAAACCTGTAGAATTATACAAAAATTCTCTTAAAATGGCTTAAAAATATTACCTCATTAAAGACATAAATGTAAATGTGTCCCATGGGAAACACAGCAATTCTGATAACTGTACCTAAGAAAATGCCTGCTTTGAATACTGTTAGAAAATGCAAAAATTTAAGGAAAACTTTTACCATATAAAAATAATCTCATTTTTTTATCTTAATCATATACTTTAAGTAAAAACGATATAAAAGACCTTAAATAAAATTTGGGCAATTGGAATAAGTAAGCACATTAATGTAAAAAACACAAACTCCAAATTTCCTATAGTCACATATTTAAATGTATCTAATTTCCAAATACAGATGCCTGATAGAATACTCCCTGGTCTGCCAGATATGGTGCTGTGATACCCAAGGCCAGCTGCACACAAAAATGGTGTTTCTGAGAGAAAGGGAATGTTTTATCAGGCACTCTTCAGAGTGCTCTACTTACATGGCTGTTAAAACCTTTAATTCTGCCAGCTGTTTTCGACACTGAGATGACTGTAGACAATAGCCTCCTGATGGATACTGTAGGATATATATATATATACTATTTAACATGACTACCAGCAGCCCTGGCTTTAGAGCCAATTCCACAGGCACATACTTAGACCAAGTTACAGGATACATATTGTTTACTAATTTTTTTTTTTTTTTTTACTGCCTAAAATGTTTCTTAGTAAGTCGTTTAGGTACCTTTAAACCTGTTTATGGGTTCACTGTCAGAACTGTGAATTATAGACACACGGGAGACAGAGACCATCCCTTGGATTCCTTCTACATATGCTTCACTGTCCAGCACAGTGGTATTCAAATAATTGGTACATTAATTCAATAAATATTTACCAAGACTTCTTTAGGTCTTTGATTTTGACATTCTTATAGAAGCAAGCCAATTTTGAAAGATTTCTAGGCAGTGAAAATTTAATAAATGAAAGACACTTGCCATTACTGATCATAATTCAGAAAGGTTGAATTAAGGTTAGAAGTGGTGGGTGTTCTGAAACTGCCCACGTATATGATGTGGAATCCAAGGTTAGGACTCCAAGGATACAACTGAAGCAAAGTAGGAGAGAATATGAGGGATTGGGTTAGATTTGAAAATAAAATCTGTTTTTGTAGAAATTACAGTGATAAAATTATGAGGAAATATTGGGGAAGGAGATAAAGTAACATTAAAAAAAATAAAACGCTTCCAGTATAATAAAGTAGAATCCTAGTAAGTTTTTGAGAAAACTGTTGTTGTTTAATTCACTGACCTCTTTTGATCAGAATTTTTACCATTCCATAAACTCTCAACTGTAACTAAATTACTGCACTTTACTGACAATGTTTTGTGAAAATGCGAGCAAAAACTTCTTGGATTCTTTTAGTCTGAACAACCGAGAAATTAAAAGATCCCATCCTTAGATTTATATAATTGATTTTCTTAAAAAAATAAGTTCAGTTATGACAATATTTATCTGGAAACAGCAGCCTCCAGCAGCAAACTAACAATTGGAATAACCACAATGCCATTATGAGTCATAGTGAAACAAGCCTGCACACTTTTTGTATCTGAGTAACAAATCAGACAAGAGTGAAAAACCTCAACTATGGGGAAGGCAAATAGAGGATCTACATCAAAACAAAGTCCAAAAGGCAAAACCATAAATATTAGAACAATGCTTCAAAAGTCAATTGCTATCACAGGGAAAACATTTATGAAAGCAATTCAGAAAATAAATGAACATAGATCTTTAAAATATAGAACTCTAAATACTGATATATTTGGGATACTCTACAGTGCCCAGTTAATAGCTGTAAATATTGTTTTCCTCAGGTATTTCTAGATGCTGTAGAAATCTATTGGATTTATTGTTAAAAATTTTTTCTCAATTGTGAAAAATTAAAATCAGTTCTTCAGCCTTTAGAAAGGAAAGAAAAAAGAAAATCTCTTCACTATAATACAGCATGAAAATAGGGCATCTGCTTGCCACATCATGTGTTTTTTTTTTTTAAAGAAACTATGGTCAGAATCCATTTCACACAATCTTTAAAACAGGTAACTAAATGCCAAGTTTTTCTTTTCAGGCCAGCCACAAAACTTGAGGGAATAGATCCCAGACATATATGTACATGACAGAGCAGGCTGCTGTTTGAGCCAGCCAGTTTTAGTATCATTTCCAGGGGTCAGCAATCTATGGCCCATGGACTGAATGTGGCTTGGCCTGTTTGTGCATGGCCCTGAGCTAAGAACAATTTTTAACTTTTTAAAGGGTTGTAAACAAAGCAAACAAAGGAATATGTGACAACTGTACATGGTCTACAAAACTTAAAATATTTACGATCTGGCCTTTTACAGAAAAAGCTTGCAGACCTTTCATTTATACCAATGTTGTACAGAATTCAGACAGTGCAATTACAATTCCAATGTTCATTTATTCCGACCCAGAATGCAGCAACGTCCTAAAGAGGTCTTCTTGATGTCATTTGTTAGAATTCCTTTTCTCTTTTTTCTTCATCTTCATCATCATTAAAGTTCATCCTACAATAATATAAAAGTGATTGAAAGAAAAAAGTATGAATTTACATTAAAATGTTGGTTAGTTTATAGTACTTTATCTTTTATTTTTTTTCAACGTTTATTTACTTTTGGGACAGAGAGAGACAGAGCATGAACGGGGGAGGGGCAGAGAGAGAGGGAGACACAGAATCGGAAACAGGCTCCAGGCTCTGAGCCATCAGCCCCAGAGCCTGACGCGAGGCTCGAACTCCCGGACCGCGAGATCGTGACCTGGCTGAAGTCGGACGCTTAACCGACTGCGCCACCCAGGCGCCCTACTTTATCTTTTAAAAAATATTTAATGGATCACCATATGAAATATACCTTGCCTAAATGTAACAATGGAAAGGAAAAGGGATATCTCTTAGTTCTTACCTGCTCATGCAGATACTATCAATTACAGTTTTATAGTCATATTTTGGTACCTTTCTAAACTGAATTTCAATTCTGATATTCTGGCTATGACTAATGACATTTTCTGTTTCAAATGCTTTTTTGTTGTTTTTTAAATTTTTTTAATGTTTATTTCTGAGACAGAGAGAGACAGAGCATGAGTGGGGGAGGGGCAGAGAGAGAGAGGGGGACACAGAATCCGAAGCAGGCTCCAGGTTCTGAGCTGTCAGCACAGAGCCTGACGCGGGGCTCGAACTCACAGACCGTGAGATCATGACCTGAGCCAAAGCTGGACGCTCAACCGACTGAGCCACCCAGGTGCCCCTCAGATGTTTAACTTAAGATAAAAGTCACACTTTAAAACCTCCTGAGGAAGCGAAAATAAATCAAAACACCAGAAAAACATTTTTGTTCCCTAAACCCAAGGAAATAATTGTAACCATCTCTTTCCTATCTTTTAGATTTGGATAAAATGTAACCCTTGATACAGGATGTAAGGCTTTTTATACTGGAGTGTGCAGTTCTAATATGGTTCTATAAAGCCAGACATCTCTAGCCCTCTCCAGAATATGCGCTGGTTCTTTTGTTCTTCTTTCACCTTATAGGGAAACAATCCAAGAAACTTCTATGTGATTTTATTAAGTTCCACTCAGAAAGCATTCCAGCATTCACGGACTCTTTGGTCTGTTTGTATGTCCTAGAATGACAATGACTTAAAAAAGAAAAAATGAACACTTCTTCCAAAGAATAGCAGAGGTTGCACTGTTTGACTGATAAAATTCTAGGAGGGGCTGAAATGAGTATGGGTTCTGATACATCCTGACTATACCAAAAGAAAATCTGCTATGCAAAGTATGTTACACTGGAGACTTGTATTTATTCCTAAGAAGTCAATACTTTATTTACATTTTAACAAAATCTAAATAATTTATGGCCATAGTTCACTATGTTTTAAATGGTTGTACTTGTGCAAATTTCTACACTTTTCAATATACAGAGGTTACATTCTGATTGTCCTATTTTTGAATTAAGAAACTTCAACTTTACTATTTTTTGAAGCTTCCATTGTACCTGTTTATTGATAAATATAAGGTACAGTATAAAGCTGGCTGAAGTCAGCTCTAGATTTAGTCCTTACCTTATCTCTCTTTCCATGATTTTGAAGATTTTTCAATTTTTCATATATTAAGGTAGCAATCTCTTTTGCATCTCTGGTATCTATTTGCTCTCCCCAAATGTTTCTCTAAAATAAAAAACATTCTTCTTATAATCTTTTAGGTGTCTAATCAAAACATGACATTTGCATCTAAGAAACTTGATTATTCCTTAAAGTTCTAAATGTTTAAAACTCAAATTTCTTCAAGGAAATAATGCTACAAAGCAGTTAACTCATAATTAAATATGATACTGTTATGAACACATTTAAAGTATTTCCTTGGAAAAAATGCATTGCCAGCTCTAACTAATCTAATCTAATTCAAAACAACTAAAATATAAAGAAAAGCCATCCCCCAGAGGACTCAAATCATTCTAATCTTATACATATGTCATTGGCACAGTTAAAATCCTGACCAACTACAACACTAGAAAGTAATGTGTTATCTCCTGGTTTTCATCTGCCCACAGTAGGAAGGTGGCTGAAAAGCAGTGAAGGGGGCAGGTCAATATATCAAGCTTTACTTTGGATCTGGAGTCATTTGCTTCCTGCTTCCTAGTGGGAACTCCACACTATCTGTTAAGATCTTGCTTTTGTGTGTACCTGCCCACCTGGTTTGTACTGCTGTTAACTCCAATCATTATTCTGCTTTGGTTTTCAAATCTGGTCTGGTCTTCTGGATGCCACCTGTCTCGGTTTGTACAGGGATATTTTGGTGTCTAATGTCCTCAGGGCTCCTTTAGACACATGGTAACATCATCTTTTCAAAGAGCTCCTTCTATGGCCAGATTAATTCTGTGACTGCTCATTATATTGATACTTTGCTTACATCATTCTACCTGAGACCCCTACTTATGCTACCCATTTCTCAGCTATTCTGAGAATTAGAAAGCAGAGCTAGTGATTCCAAAGGGATGAAGTGAATTCAGATCCTGATATAAGCTCCTTTACTCTCACTGAGATGTTTACCCTAGGCTGTTCTTAAGACAGAATTAGCCTCTTGGACCAATCAAAGTCCTTCATTGAAACATCTAGTTGACAATTCTAGACTTCTAAAATCCATCTGATTTCTTTAACTCTATTTTAAAATATAATTTCCAATAAATAACCTGACATGTTAAGCTGATACTCCTTCTCAAAAAATATATTTACTTGAAATGTTTTACCATAAAACATGAATACATGGCAAATCCTTATTTATTTAATTACAATTCTATTGTCAAAAATATCATTCTTTTACTCAGGAAGATAGCAAAAGTCATGAGTATTTTCAGTTAGCAATTACAGTGGTTGAAAGATATATGCATTTATATAAATGATAGTAGAGGTTATCGCCTGAGTTTTAAGATCCATTGGTAAATGTCTAATTTTCTTTTTGGGGGGAAAAAAAAAAGCATATTGTCAGTGGCCCAAAGAAGGGAGTTGTGATCAAGCCATGGACCCTAACTTTTATTTTGCAGTCTAAACCACTAATAAATATTCCTCAAGACAAATGTTCAGGTACTAGTCTACTTCAAAAGTATGATAGTATTCTTTTAATTTTTTCCTTTCCTGGAGAAAATAATAATAAAGGTAATATGTAATTGTATAAAAGTAGAAAATATAGAACTTCACAGAATATAATTATGTTGACTTCTCCACTCAGAAAAAACTACTCTAGTATCCTGCTATGTGTCTTTAGTAGTTTCTGTAATTCATTAGTATAAAAATTTTAAGGAGTGGATCATACCAACTTTGAGACAGAAAAACCTTTGAAAATCACTTGATGTATATGTGAAAAGAAGCTTCAGCAATATGCAATAAAATGAAACAAGACAAAGGAAGGAGAAGCTAATGAAAACCTTCACACTAATAACAAACCTTTTCAACTGGGTCTGCTAAAAGAAAGGCACATACGGGAACGCCAAATACATACCTTTGCTTTTTCGTAGGGATAAAATTTAACAGTTGGATAGGCTCTGATACCAGCTTTCTGGCATGTTTGAGCATAAGCCTGACAGTCTACTTTTCCAGCTTTCACTTTTCCTTTAATCATCTGAAAAGAGAGAAGTGGGGTTTGCCATTCACTGTGGCATAAACTATTTTGGCAACCACAAGGCAACATGATACTAAAATTTTCACATCTTTGTAATAATAAAGACTTATTTCAAAAACTTAAGTTTTAATCCTTTCCATACTAATAAGATTGCTTCCAAATTTTTTAGTGGCTCTTATCAAGAAAAACTCCTTCCTGGTCCCCATACCTTGTCCATCACACCACAAACTCCCGATTCTGTCCTCAAACGCCTTCTCCCATTCTCTGGTCTCACCTGGCGAGGTAACACTCTTCATTTTGCAGAAGGCTGTCAACACCTACATTCTCCAGTTCCTCTCTGTCAGGTGTCTTACATGCTCTTTGGGGTATGTGCATATGGTCAAAACAGGATTCTTTTCTTAATTGTACTGGTTCCTCTAGCTACCTCCTTGCTTCTCTTTTTTTTTTTTTTTGAGGTTAGTCTTTCATTGCTTTTCCTCCCTCATCATCTCATTTATCAACAGATTTTAGTCTAGCTTCTGTTTTTACTGCTCCCTCCACTGAAACTGCTGTAAGTTCTGCAGTGACTACTTGACCAAACTGAATGGACACTTTTCAGTCTTAATGGGTACCTGACATTGCTAAACATGCCTTTCTTTTTTCTTTCTTGGCATTTATCACTATTCTCTCTTAGCTTTCTTGCTCCTCAGGCTGTACTATCTCATTTCTAGCATGGGGACCTCTTTCTACACCTGCCTCTCAAATTATAGTATTTAATCACAGTTGCATCTATGGCGAACACTTTTTTCACTGTGAGCAATCTCCCAAGGGAGATTTTATATATAAATGTGCCGAGATGTGCTGCTCAGCCCAACCTCCCCTGATTTCACACTCACCTATGTACTGGCCTGGTTCAACTAAATAAGCATCCTGCACAGATGATTTCTAACACGGAACCTTTCCCTTTACCTACTCTTCCTTCTGTCCTACTATTCCCTCATTCAAGCCAGAAACTAGGGCCATCTTAGACTTCTTTCTCTGTCACACTTACCACAATTAATTGGACATTAAATCCTATTCTTTTATCTCTTTTACATTTGTCCCATTCTTTCTATCACCATTACCTGTATCCCGGTTCAGATAACATCTCTCACTTCAGGACAATTAAAATACCTTTGCTGCCTCTAGTTTTGTGGCCAATGCCGGCTTACTCAAGAGGGGTTAGGGCAGCAGCAAAGCTGCATGCAGAAACACACTTATACTGAAGGTCAGAGAAATTTACAAAATGTTTATCTTTAACATTAGTTGACTTGTATCTTCAATTGCTTATAAAGGAACACCATATTGTTTCTGGTGCTCTCATATCGTTCTCTGGCCTTGCTGGCCTGTGTACAGTTCCATCCAAAGTGCTCTTTCTAAAATGTAAAATGGATCCTACCATATCCAATAGTTTTCCCCTAGTGCTTATACAGAACTTATTCTGAACAATATGAAATCACAAAGAAAGAGGACCAAACCTTCTTCCTCCTCAATTATTTACTAAGCCTGAGTTTTTGCCATTCCCCTTCTGTCTCTACACTCTGGTAGTCTGGACGAACAGTGAAGTTGACCGAACATGCACCACTCTCTTGCATCCCTGCATCTCTGCAAATACTGTCCTCTCTGCTCGGAGGACTCTCTAGCCAAACTCCTGGTCATGTGCCAGACTCCTGGTCATGTTGTAATTCTCATCTCAAATCCCAAGTTTTCGGTGGAGCCTTTTGTCTTTTCCTGGCAAGACTCTTTCTTCCTCCCATGTCCTTGCTCCCCTCTCATTTCACTAGAGCAATGATCCTGCTGTATTAAATGTATTTATTTGCATGTTATCTTCCCACTAGAATAAAACCTCAGACATGTAACTTTTGTCTTTCAATTTCTATAGCTCTAGTACTTACTGTAATGCTTCTCACCTAGTGCTTAGGATTTGTTGAATGATCTTTTTCATATTTAATAACTTTCTGGCGTATCCAAGATATAGGTGTGTTATAAAATATATAACTAAGCTAAGTTTTTCAGTATACAAGGGAATGAAAACATTTTGTTAGAATTACTGGAGAAAAAGGAAGCACAAGGGGAAAAGAAGATCAAGTAAGCGGGAAAGATGAAGAACTTATTTGAAGGATGATCCAATAACAAATAATCTTTCATGACACCTAGGAGCTTTGAAGTCCCTTTGCTAAAAAATCCTGATGGGTTAGGATTGTCAGCTTTTGCTTTAGACTGGTGAAACTGGAGCTTTCTCATTCTAAGTGAGTGTTTTGTAGCCCAGGCAAAGCTCCCTGAAGCAAGAATGCAAACAATCTGGATTAGGTCATGAACAGGATGATGGGGACAGAAACAAGAAAAAATTAGACTGTATTCTGTTTATGCATTCAGTTAAATTTTATAAGCATTTCCTGAGTTAGACTCAGATAAGACCTGTACCTGTACCTTGCCCTCAAGAAGCTCCAGTCTTATGGAGGAGATAGATATCTAAATATTTATTCACTGTGTAAGTACACCAAATGGAGTACAAGACATCAAAGTGACACTGAGAAGGACAGAGAATACAGAAGTGCCAATGTAGCTGGATTTTGTAGGATAAGGAGAGAAAGATTCAGATGACTAATAACAAAAAGGCATTTTAGAGAGAGGGAACAGTATCTGCTCAGCAAACCTGGAGTATTTTGCTGTGTCTGAACTGTGAGGTGTGGGGTGGTGACAGAGATAAAGCTGAAGAGGTAGGAAGGGTCCCACCAGAGACCTGCAATCAAGGTCGTAAGTCAAGAAACTTGGCTAACAGGAAGCCAGAGAAGGCAGTATTTTAGAAAGATCAGCAGAGCAGAACTGAATAAGGCAGACTGGCAATGTGAGACTCGTTAAAAGGCACACATGAGAAGTCTGGAAGAGATGAAGAGGGCTTGAAGAGAAAGGCTAGCAGAGGACATGACGAGGAGATGACAGATTTGAAAGGCACTTAAGAGGCAGGACAGGATCTAGTGATGGGCTGGTGGGCAGCAGAGTAATGGTGGAGGAAGGAAATAGGGAATAAGCAAGAGAAATGAGTTGTCTCTAATGGTTAGATGATGTCATCCATCAAGATAGAGATGTTAGCCAAAAGTATTAATAAAGAAGGAAGAAATCTACCACAAAGATGATACTCATAGAAATGAAATGGGATTTTTAAAAAATTCACAGGAAACTTCTTAGAAAAAAAGAATCATATATACCTTTACCTAATTATTTTATCTAATTTTTAAATAATCTAATTTTTAAAACATGCATGTAACTACAACTTACTTACATAGATAGACAAGACTTACCCTAGCCAAAAGCTCAAACTCTGGAGCAAAATTTTGGCAAGGTCCACACCAAGGAGCATAGAAATCAACCACCCAGTGATTTTTCCCTTGTATAACTTTTTCATTGAAAGTCTGAGGCGTTAGATCTATGGATGCTTGAGGTAAAAATCTGTGGCAAGGGATCAAAATTACTTTTCATTATATGAAACCAAGGAAAACATCTAAAATATAGCAAAAGTTTCTAAGTTAAAACTGACTTCAAAGAATGACTATAAAGCACAACCCTATCTTGGTAAATTATAATTCTTTACTAAGTAGTTTAAAATGTGAGAGTCTTAAAAAACTTACAGTAAATTTAACTGCAGACATAAGACGAAGGTAAATAGCACTGAATCTATTTTATGCAATGATGCATATTTTTAATTACTCACCCTAGACCCCAAATCCTCAGGGAATAAGCATCTCTATTCCAACCATTGTAACTACTGAAAGAAGAGCAAATATGAAAGTTGTAAATACTATTTTCTATTATTGGATATGTTCAGAAAACAATCTCATTGCAGCAGTTTAAAAGTTTGACTGACTACTTAGCATCTCTCTTCTCAGTTACACCTAGCTACAAACGCTGCTTACATGGCTTCTCAAATACATTTTTCTCTAGTCTTGATGTTTTTTTGTGCTCCAGGTAGTCCTAAATGTTTAGCTGCCTGCTGGACATCTCCTATAGGAGCACGGGAATGGTAAAACTCAAAATGTCTGAGACTTCAGTTTCTGAACATTTACTCTGGTTTTTATGTCTATCAAATTCCTATGTACTTTTTAAGACCCATGTCAAAAGCCACCTCATAAATGCAGCCTTTCGTGATTTCCTCTCATAGTTGTGATCCTTTCCTTCTTTGAAATTCATGGTCTGTTTTTACTTTTCAAAGAATATTCCTTATATTCTGCCTTGCACTGGAGTTGTCTACCTCAAATACCATGTGGTGTTGTAGAAACAAGTATGGGCACTGACACAGACCTGGGCTGAAACCCCAAGCAGCAGTGTGACTTGGGAAAGTTAATGAAAGTCTGTGGATCAGTTTACTTATCTGTAATAGTAGGAAAGGGTAGTAATTCTTATTTCTCAGGGTATATGTGAGGACCAGTGGAAATAATGTGAGCAAAGGATCAAGTACAGTACCTGAAACCAAACACTGACTAAATAAATGTTAGTGCTTCCTCTCTTTATCTTCCTCTATACTGGAGTGCCAGCTTCATGAACATTGGGATTGTTCAATTCTTTTTTTTTCATCTTCTGAGGTTCTCCTTAGCACACTATCTTAAAACATGGTGGACTCCCCAAAAATGTTTGTTGGGTTAACTTTTATTTAGTTAAGATAAACAAATAAATAAGCTTTAAAAAAAAAAGTTATTTATCTCTACACCCAACATGGGGCTTGAAGTCATGACCCCAAGATCAAGAGTTACATGCTCTTCTGGCGAAGCCTCTAAGATAACTTTTAAATTTTAACTGTCTAAATAAGTGGTTATAATAAATGTCTTTAAATTTTAGGCAACACTTACTGATACTGAAAAGCTTTATTTGATTTTTGGGGAAAAAATCTTATCTCAGGGTATCTCCGAACATTTTCTTGGGCACAAAAAGAATGATACTGTTGGCAGTCTATACTGCCTACATTGATCAGTCCAGTTAATGTCTATAAAAGAGAAAAAGAAGAGATAAAATAGATCAAAGTGATTACAATAAAACTACCTCCATAACTATGTTTACAATAGAAAAATCATCATTTTGAGATGGTTCTTATATTATTTACCAGTGATCTTCACCAAATAAAAATGGGTAAGGGTTTAAAACATAACAATATATATAGTAATGAACTGAAAATGTAATGTTGCAGTTAAGACCTTACTACAATTACTGCAGATTAAATAACAGATTTCGTACATGTACCTTAGAAATGAAGTATTTCTAAAACTTAAGTGTTAGAAACCAGGAACTAATGAAGACCTCTGCAATGGCATTTCAAAGAGTTATTTTTCAAATAGAGACATGCATTGCAGCACACTGACTCATGCCTGAATTTAAAAATTTTACTGAGAAGAGCACAAAATTGTATTATCTTAAATATTAAATACTAGAAATCACTTTTAACTCTTCCGTTTGTTCATTTTTTCTTAGAAATATAAAAGTTGATTTCATTTTCCATTCTCATATTGAAATAACTTTTCCCCAATCTTTCATGATTTATAACACTATGTCTATTTGTAGGAAATCTTAAAATTCCAAATGTTTTACTGATCAAAGCTATTGTTTAAGTCCCACAATATTGTGAAGAAACTGTACTGTTAAGCTCTAAAAATAAAGGAGTAGAAAAATTTTAATAGAAAATAAAGGGATCTTTGGGTTGACTTTGGCAGAAATTTGGTCAGATACATACCAAACAAGTGACACAGGAAAAAGTAAGGGTAGATTATTCTATACCATTCACCTATCAGACAGAAACAGAGTTGAAATCTAAGTGTGTAATTAAAGCTATTGGGAGTGATAATCTAGAGGTGAGTTCATCTCCGTTTTAAAACAATTCTGTTAAATACACATTAATGCTAAATGTTAAGATTTAAATAAACTACTGTACTATACCCGGGCCATTCTTTTCCACTCTGGCATTAGGACTTGACATGGATGACACCATGGAGAGTAGAAATCAACCATCCAGACTTCATCATGTTTTCTTTGTTTAACTAGTTCACTGAAAGTGGTGGGTGTCAGGGAGATCACTGAAGGATTCATAAGATCCTAAAGAGAATTTAACTTTCATTATAACTGATATAAAAAGGTATTGATACATTCCTGGCAAACTGTTATCACTTAGAAAAGTTCCTGGTTTATTTTTGTTTCTGTTTTTAATTTTAGAGAGAGCACAAGTGGGGGAGAGGGGCAGAGGGAGAGCCAGAATCCTAAGAAGTCTCTATGCTCAGCGTGGAGACCAACACGGGGCCTGATCCCACAACCCTGGGATCATGACCTGAGCTGAGATCAAGAGTCGGATGCTCAACTGAGACACACAGAAGCCCCCCAAAATTCCTGTTTCTGAAGAATCAAAATATACTTATTTATATTTAAAATACAATCTAAAGTGAATTATTTTAAAAAGGACAAATGATTCCTAATTAATTTAGACTTTGCCCATTAATCTTCTGAAATCAAGGTATATTTTCTTACTATTATGTATCATTAAAATCATCTTAGGTAGGGAAAAGAGGCAACTGTATTTAAGGTGACAGGAGATGGGACAAAAAGCCTAGAGGTGCCTAGATGTCTACAAAGGCCATATAGTTCTATTCTAGAACCAATGAGTGGTTTGGAAATAACCCTCTATTACTGAAAAGCCTACTATTCTATTTTCCTGACAGTCTGAATGGAGATACTGCACAACTTCCCTAACAGCTCACTTGCTCCAAATACTGTTTTAACAAAGCTTTAGTCTACAATGATGGGGTAATATTAACAAAAGTGTTAGCTTCACTGGGGAAATAAGAATAAATAATACAGCACAAAATGAAAAACTATTTAAAAAAAATTTAGGGGCCCCTGGGTGGCTCAGTTGGTTAAATGTCCAACTCTTGATCTTGGCCCAGGTCATGACCTCACGGTTCAAGAGATCAAGCCCTGCATCAGGCTCTGCCATGACAGCATGGGGCCTGCTTGGGATTCTTTCTCTTCTTCTCTGCCCCTCCTTCACTTGCTCGCGGTTTCAAAATAATGATTTAAATTACCTCTACAATTGACAATACTATAAATTAAATTAAAATACCTCTATGAATTCCAAGATCTGTTCAGCAGAGTGATGTCCTTCATATTCATGAACGTTGGACTGGTTGAATACCACTGTTGTTGGATAAGCCTGAATGTTATACTGTTAGGAATGAGAATACAAATGAAAGATTTTATGCATTTTACCTATTGGTTTCAAATTCATAACCAGCTTGCTTTTAAGTAACAACATTTAAAAAGTCCATTGCTAAATTGCTGGGTTATTGCAAAATTTTAGCCTGGCCAAATTTGGCAAAGAAAATGGATTTACAGTTGTACTGATAAATTACCCTTTTTATAGCCACTCCATTAGCCACAGAATCCATGGGCAATGAAACACTGAAAAGTGAGCAAGGCTAATTATGAGTGTGGGCCCTTTTGACTCCTGAACCAAGAGGATAAGGCTGTAAAGAGCAGGCTAATCTCTGGCTTGAGTCTTTTTGAAACCATAATACTCTAATTTGTCTAGAAGAAAATAAGCAAAGGAGCAAGGATAATAATGTGTATACAACCATATTTTAAGGAATTGTGACTCATTTCCTAAGAATATGGTCATCTTTTATTCATCATTCAAGGTAGTTTTTATAGTACAAAATACTGTAAGTTCCTCCTCAAAGGAACATCAACACTGGCCCAGGAAGCATTTCTTCGAAGTTTTAACTTTTCTAAAAGTTAACAAGGCTATCTTGTGAATTTACTATAGCTAAACTTTGCATCCTTAAAGTTGATAAGCACTCAGTAGAAAATTGGACTTTTTCTGAAATTGACTAGGATTCAAAAATAATTTTAGGAAAAACAATGGAAATATTTATCAAAATTTGTAAAATGAGTGTAAATTCAAATAACTCAGATATAATTGTTGTTTTGTTAATCTACTTAGTGATTGATTAGCATGTGTTGGGAATCTTTTTAGCACTTAAACATGTAGTTTCTAGTCTATTCTCCACAACAATTACTCATTAGTGAGTAATGACCCCTGGCCTCTACTGCAGGTGAATTTGACACCACAGTTTTAAATCCTTACATTTTACTCAATTATCTAAAGAATATTCAATAGTTTAGATAAAAAGAAAAACTAGAAGAATTCAAATTAAGATAATTATTGTTTATCACATTAAGTTTGTATCTTGCTTAGCATCTTTTCAAAGTCACATATAAGACATTCAAAACCAAAGGCCTTATTGTTTAAACATAGTTCAGTTAAATTTCAAACAGAATGAAGAGAGAAATCATCTAACAAATACCCACACATCCCCTTCCCTATATTTAAGGAAGATTAACTTCTTTAGCACACTGGTATTACTAGAAGGTCTTTTTTCTTGATCCTATTTGCTTTCCTTCATGAAAGTAGGAGCAATCGATGTCCTCAAATAAGTATATGTCCATTCTACTGATGTTTTCCTCCTTTGCGATATGTTTATGTATCCCTGGGCAGTATAGTAAAATGTTTGAGCACTTAAAAATTTTCTGTAATTCTGTCATACTCTGTAAGCTATTATGCACTTGTTTTTGTCACCTTACATTGTATTTTTGAGACTTACCCATGCTGGTAAAGATAGACCTAGTTTAAATGCTCTATGATATTACATTGTGTGACTGGATAATTTATCAACATACTTGTAATGTCAGATTTCTAAATTTTTGTATATTTGATGGATTGCTGTAATTTGTACTTTCCTGATGACTAGTGAAATGCAACATTTTTTATGCTGGAATTCTTTTTCTAAAAAAAAAGTCTACAAACTTTCTTATTTTGTCTATTTAAAAAAATTGATTTGTAGCCTTGAAATATTCTGGCACGAATGCTTTATCAGTTACAAGTACTACAAATAGTCTGTTGTCTTAACTTCATAGTGTCTTTTTCTTTGGTAATAGTTTTAACATTTAATATAGTTAAAATCATTCACATTAATTTTTACCTTGTGTGTGTGGACTGAGAGATTACTCCTCACACAGATGCCATAAAGATTTCACCCTACATTAACTTCTACTATGTTTTTAAAACCTATTGTTTTCTTTTCCCTTCCCTTTCCCCCTTTTCTCTCTTCTATCTTTTTAAAAGTTTCCTCTTATAAAATATTTAAAATACACACAAAATCAGAGAGCAATAAGTTCTCAAGTATTCTTGTAGCTACAATCATCTGCTCACCACACTTATTTCATCTATTCTCCCTTCCAACTCTACCCCTACACCAAGATTATTCTAAAGCAAATTCCAGATGATTTATCATTTCATCCATATTTCAGTCTATTTAAAATACAAGGACTTTCCCTGAAATGCAACTACACTGTCATTTTAATATCTATAAATGAACAATTCCTGATAATTATCAGATACCCTGTCAGTGTTCAAATTTCCCCAATTATTGCCTGCTCATTTTTTTGCACTTGGTTTGAGCAGCATCCAAACAAGAAGACCTAAACACTTCATTTGAAGGATATGTCTTTTGAGTCTCTTTAATCTCTTCTGCTTTTCAATGTCATCTGTCCAATACATTAGGTGTTTGTCCTGTAAAATCCTCTACGTGCTGGGACTTGAAGAGTGCATGCCCATGGTGTCACTTAACATGTTCCTCTATCATTAGATTTCCTTAACACTGATGTCACAGCTTGATTCGATTTAGGTTTCATATACTTGTTCCAAGTATGTTCTAAGTGGTATTATATACTTTCATCATGAGGTATACAATTTCTAATTATTCTTGGAATGAAGAATGAATATTAATTAACCTAAGAACATATTTTTATGTATACAAAAGTTTCAAAAAGCTTGTTCATTTTTAAAATTTCTAGCTACTAACTACACTTAGAAGAGAATTATGAAGAAAACCTAGAATAAAACTATAGACTGCCAAAAGTGATATTACATCAAAAATTATAAAGATTTTAAATACTTGATGACCATGTATTTTATCAAATAAACAATATTTTCCCAAGTTTGATAAATAAGACCATGTCTACATTCACTCAATTATGTTGTCTACTCATGTTTTAATCCAATCATAATTTTATATCATTTTGTTGAAATTATTTGTTCAAATAACGTTACTCTTCTAAATGTAGATATACATTTGAAAGAGAGCTTTTGTCAGTCTAACTTAAAGACTATTTTATAAAAATGTTGATTAGAATAACTATTTAATACTTAGCCTTACCATGTTACAGAGTCCCTCATGAACCGTACAATCTAGTGTACCAAACTTGAGCTGACCATAAAGATGCTTCGATGCTTTTCGTAACTCTGGCAACAAAGCTTGACATGGTGGACACCACTACGGAAGAAAAAAATATTCATAAGCGCTGAGCTAAATGAAACAAAAAGCCACATTTCTGCAACAACCAATATATGCTAGATAAATCATACTTAGTGGTAAATCGTGTGTGTGTGTGTATTTTATCCCTAGAGGGGCAAGTACAACCCTGCTCTCATAGAAGCAATATGTGATAGTGGCCAAAATTGAGTAACACAATTCTAGTGTTCAAGATTATATAGCAAATGTCTTTTTGCTGTGACAAGAGAAAATTTGAAACACTGACACTTGACAGATAAAAATAACTTACTGGTGCAAAAAAATCAACAAGCCATGGTTCCTTGTCATTGGCAGGAAAATTTTGAGGTCCAAGTGTGGTAACATGAGAATTAACACTTTCTTTGGCAAAGGCAAGTATATCATATAGAATCTTCTTTCCTTTGAAAGCGAATAAGAGAAAAATTAAAATTCACGTACTGCCTTTCTATCCATAGAAACATTTCAAAGTTTTTAGACTTAAAATATGAAAGAAAGGAAGATAAACTTATTGACCAAATTGATTTTGGTGAGGTTTCATCCTCAAAGGCAGAGTAATCACTTCATTGCAATATTTGTTGTGTTCTTTAAAAAAAATTTTTTTTAATGTTTATATATTTTTGAGAGAGAGAGAGACAGAACGCAAGTGGGGGAGAGGCAGAGAAAGAGGGAGACCCAATCCGAAGCAGGGTCTGAGCTATCAGCACAGAGCCCAATGTGAGGCTTGAACTCACAAACTGTGAGATCATGACCTGAGCTGAAGTCAGATGCTTAACCGACTGGGCCACCCAGGTGCCCCTATTTGTGTTCTTTATGCTTACCCGAGCTATTACTGTTGCCTAATTACTAAACCTGTTTCTTCCAACTCAACCTCCCTTATGAATTCAAAACCTGTATTACCAACTGCGCAGTGAAGATATTTACGTGGATGTTATGTAAACATTTAAAATATATTAAAATCGGAGTTATTCCCCCCCAAACTTGCTCCTTTTCTCACCTTCCCTATGTTGGCATTGACATAATCATCCACCAGGTGCCTAAGATTTCCCAGAGTGATACTCACCTTCTTTCTTTGCTGGTGTACCATGGACCAAGACCAATTAGACTAGTGCCTAAATTCTGTCTTGCCTATTACAATAACCAAGCTGGTCTTTGCGTACTATCTTTCGTAACTAATCCATTTTTTCATTGCTACCACAGTTAATTTACAAAAACATCTGTCTGATTACACTGTTCCTTGCTGAAAGGACTTTGATGATTTACTATTGCCTAAAGAATATACTCTTTGGTTTGACAAATAATGATTTTTTTCAATTAGCACTTGGTCCATTTTCCCATGTGCCCTTTGACTTATTCACTTAATAGGCAATATTAAGTCAAATACCGATTATGTGTCATCCTTGTTTTAAATGTCATCAGGCATGCAAGAATAAAGATACAATCCTCAGAGAATTCACAGCACAGAAGAAATATTTTCACAATTATTTAAATACAATTATAAATCATACCACATTCTCCTGCTTTTTTCTTACTCTGTAGCTGCAGCTTCTTGAACTGGTTTACACATTCCTCTATCTTTGATCATCCTTAGGGCCCTGATCTTGTCTCTCTACTCACTCTTCCACAAGCTCATTCTCACTGAAGGCTTCAACTATTGTTGATATGATGATTATTTACATCTACCTTTTTCAGCCCAAAATCCTCTCCTGAGGCCTAGGCCTACATTCAGCTACAGATTGGGGATGTCTACTCCCTATCAACTCCTCCCCTCAGTGTTCTCTTCTTCACTCAATGGTACAGTCACTCAATTGCCAAGTGAATGTCAGAAATTTGGGCTTCTTTCTCTTACTTCCCCACATCTAAACAATTGTCAAGTTATACTGACTTTATATATAAATACTGACTTTGTATTTAAAGGTTGGTCCAAGTCCCTTCAACCACATTACCATTATTTAGATAAGGCAGCTGTCTTCTCTTAGATGAATGACTGTATCAGGTTTCTATTTGCCTTCCCTTCCTCTAATTGTGCTTCTATCCATTCCAGGTGGCCAGCTGCTTTCCTAAAATGTAACACTAGTTAAATCATATGTCTGCATAAATCTGAGAGCATTTGCTTTGCCCTCAGGATAAAGTCCAAATTCCTTTACCTGACAGATGATACACAGAATTTGGAACTCTGAGGCCTTCTCCAGCCTCAAGTCTCAATCCTTTCAAACACTCAAAATTCCATCTTGAAATCCTCCTTTCTAAGAATGGATGAGGCTCTCTCTTATCTCAGAGTCTAAGAGAACTTGTGGTGGTTCCTGTGCTTGGAACATGCTTGCTACTCTTCATTTGGTCAACCATTACTTACACTTTAGATCTTGACAAAGAGATTGCTTTCTCTTACCTCAGAAGATTGTTCCTCCTAAGTGTAACCCATACTTAGCTCTGGTGGTAGCCAGTCTCCAAGGCAGTCCTCAGTGACTATTACCTCATGTACTCACACCATTGTTGTAACAGGGTACAACAAATGGTGGATATGATGGTGTGTCCTGTCTGACATTAGATTACATAATAGATATTGCTGTTACGTCTGTGTATCTCTCTCTGATCATTATTCTGGGAGAAGCCAGCTGTCATTCTGTGAGCAGCCCTACAGAGAGATCCAAGTGATAAGGAACTGAGGCTTTTGGTTGACAGCCAGCAAGGAACTAAGTCTTGAAGCCAGCTGTGCCAGGAGCTAACCGTCCCCCCATAAGTATGACCACAGCAGCTACGGCTGGGTCTCTCACCTAGTCCACCAGCATACCCGCAGCAAATGTGGCTCAGCCCAACAGAAGGGCACACACAGCCACACAGGGGACGCCCCCCTTGAATACCTGGCTCTGGTGGCCAGGAGGGATTGGGCTTCTGGGCCCAGCAAGACACTCTACAGAAGGCCACTCCTTCTAGACCAGATGTAACTGATCTACCTAAAACACAAAAACAAACATGAAGAATCAGGCCAAATGAGGAGACAGAGAGAGATAAAGTAGTCATAGAAATATTTAGTAGTTTAGTGGAAGAAAAATCTGAAAAATGCCCATAGTTGAGATGCTACATTTGGCACACTAGAAACGAAAACTATAGGTGTTGTTTACTTTTGTTCACAAGACCCTTAAAGTCTGCACTAACCTGATATGTCACCAGCATTCTTGCTCAAACACTAAAATAGCAGAAAAAAGTGAATTATTTTATTTTTTTAATGTTTATTTTTGAGAGATAGAGCACATGTGCGTGTGCGAGAGAGAGAGAGCATGAGTGGGGGAGGAGCAGAGAGAGAGATAGAGACAGAATCTGAAGCAGGCTCCAGGCTCTGAGCTGTCAGCACAGTGTCCGACATGGAGCTTGAACCCACAAGCTGTCAGATCATGGCCTGAGCCGAAGTCGGAAGCTTACCCGACTGAGACACCCAGGCACCCAAAAGTGAATAATTTTAAAAAGAAGAGTAAAGAGAATACAGCAACTAAATACAATTCAAAATATCTTTCTCCAAAAGAAACCTATTTACTAATAAAAGCAAAGTTATTTATAGTGAGTACGTTTATAGAAAGCAAGGTAAAAAGAACCACAAAAGACCCCAAAGAGCCAAAGCAATCTTGAGAAAGAAGAACAAAGCTAGAGGTATCATGGTCCCTCATTTCAAGATACACTACAAAGCTGCAGTAAACAAAGCAGTATGATACTGGCACAAAAACAGACACTTAGTTCAAAGAAACAGAATAGAGAGCCCAGAAATAAACCCATGCTTGTATGGTCAATCTCTGACAAAGGAGGTAAGAATATACAATGGAGAAAAGACAAGTTTCCTCAGTAAGTGGTGCTGGGAAAACTGGACAGCTACATGCAAAAGAATAAAACTCAACCACTCTCTTACACCATACACAAAAATAAGTTCAAAATGGATCAAAGACCTAAATGGGAAACCGGAAACCATGGAAGTCCTAGAAGGAAACATAAGTGGTAATCTCCAACATTACCTTAGCAACAATTTTTCTAGACCTGTCTACTATGCAAGAAAAACAAAAGCAAAAACTATTAGGACTACACCAAAATAAAAAGCTTTTGCACAGTGAAGGAATAAAAAGGAAAAAAAAAAAAAAAAAAAAAGCCAAGCTACTGAATGGGAGAAGATATTTTCAAATAACGTACTTAATAAAGGGTTAATATCCAGAATATATAAAGAACTCCTACAACTCTACACACACACACACACACACACACACACACACGCACACGCACACACACACACAATCCAATTAAAAATGGGCAGAGGACCTGAAGAGACATTTCCAAAGAAGACACATACATAAATGGACAACAAACCAATGAAATGATGCTCAACATCATTAATCATCAGAGAAAGCAAATCAAAACCATGATGAGATATCACCTTACACCTGTCAGAACTAATACCAAAAAGCAAGAAATAGAGTTGGCAAGGATGTGGAGAAAAAAGAACTGGTAGGCAAACAGTATAGAGGTGGAAAACAGTATAGAGGTTCCTCAAAAAATTAGAAATAAAAATGCCATACAATCCAGTAATTCTACTGTTATTTACCCAGAGAAAACAAAAACACTAATTTGAAAAGATATATGCACCCCATGCTCATTGCAGCATTATTTACAATAGCCAAGATATGGAAGCAACACAAGTGTACATCAATAGATGGGTAAGAGGATGTGTATATACACACAGACAACACACACACAAATGGAATATGATTACTCATCGATGAAAAAGGAGATCTTGCCATTTGTGACAACACAGATGAACCTAAAATGAATGATGCTAAGTGAAATAAGTTTGAGAAGACAAATACCATATGATTTTACTTTTGTGGAATCTAAAAAACAAAACAAAGTAGAAACAGACTCATAGACACAAAGAACTGGTGATTACCAGAGGGGAGATAATTGGAGGGATGGGTGAATTGGAGTGGGGGCTAGACTTCCAGCTCTGGAATTAAGTAAGTCATGGAGTACAGAGCAGGGAATATAGTCAAAGGTATTATTAATACCACCATACAGTGACAGATGAGAACTACACTTGTGGTGAGCACAGCATAACGTACATAGTTGTGGAATCACTGTTGTATACCGGAAAGTAATGCAATACTGTGTGTCAACTACATTTCAGTTAAAAAATAATTAAAGAGGTAGAAAGTACAAATAAAAAATTATTTGAAAATACATACACATTTTTATCATTTTTCCCTTCTTACCATGATGAATTTCATATTCTTTGGTTCCTTGTCCTTTAAATACTGCTAGACATGGCTGAAACACATAGAGATTACTACAGATGTCTGGTGCAGAGGAACAGTCAAACTTGCCAACCTAAAGGAGAAAATTTAATTTGATGAAAACAAAATCTTATATATTCATTTTTTAAATATTCATAAAGAAATGCCATTGCTCTAACAGTTTCTAAACAGAAGTTAACTGGCCATGAAAATAAGAGATAGAAATAATTTACATTGAACACTGAAACTAAGTCTAGTGAAGGAAAAACAAAGCCTCCTAGAGAGTTCAAAAACTTGAGAGAAAATATTCTAGAAAACATGAAGTTGCTTAAGACATCCACTCTTCTAACAATGCAGAAGACACTTATATAATCTTGGAGTGGGAGAGATAGAAAACTTTTTAAGACCTCAAAAGCAGAAATAAGAAAAAGGTTGAGAATTTCATACAGTGTGAAAGAAAATTGCATAAAGAATACTAACAGGCAAATGATAAACCATGAAAAAATATTTGCAAGATTTTAGAGGATCCACTAAGATATAAAAAGATAAATCTCCTTTCAGAAGAAAGAAAACAGGCCAGAGACAGAAAATAGAAAAATTATGATTTGTTAATAATCACAAAAGATTTTTTCAACCTCACTAGAAAGCAAATAAATGAAAATGAATATTATTAATATATCACTTTTGGCCTATAAGAATGGTGATTACAAAAAATGATACTATCATGATTGGCACAGGTGTGGAGAAATGGCTACTCACATGTTGCTAGTAAGAATACAAAACGATATAAACATTATGGAGGATACTGGTAATGAGGACAATTAAAAAAAAAAATCTTGATTAAGGAAATTCCTCATACTGCATTTTTACAGTATGTATTTTTGACATAAAATAGAAAAAACATAAGATGGATCTGTTAAACAATTATGGTGTAATCATATAGTGAAATACTACCTAGTCTTTAGGGATGATGGTATCTATATGAAGATAAATATAGATATTATCATATCTATATTCATCATCTATATTTACCATCAAATATCTATATTTATCATCATATATATTTAAATATGATATTTATCATCTATTTAGCATAGATTAAATATCTAAATATATTTATCATCATATATATTTAATAATATATATTGATCACCATCCCTAAAGGCTAAATTCATACACACACACACACACACACACATACATATATACATATACATATGCATAATAAGAAAAGCATAAGGGGCCTTATAAGGCATTTAAGAAAATACATGATATCGTCAAATGGAAAATTCTACAAAGGAGAATATAGTAGTTCCTCACTTATCAGTGGTTTTACTTTCTGTCGTTTCAGTTTCCATTTGTCCAACTGTAGTCCAGAACACAGGATTCTCTTCCAAAGCACTGTCAGGTCGGGAGTAACTTAACAACACACCATGGTGCTTACATTATTCACCTCACTTCATTTCATCATGTAAGCATTTTACGGTTTCATATCAATTCACGAGAGTACAGTACAGTAAGATATTTTGAGAGAGAGCCCATATTCACATAGCTTTTATTTTAATTATCCATTTTATTATTATTGTTAATCTCTTACTGCACCTAATTTATGAATGAAACTTTATTATAGGTATGTATGTATAGGAAAAAACAGAATATATACAGGGTTTGGTACTCTCTGTGGTTTCAGGCATCCACTCGGGATCTTAGAACATATCTCCTGCAGATAAAGGAGGGACTACTGTAATAGTGAATCCATTTTTATTTAAAAAGTTCGTATACAAATTTACATGTATGTCTATCACAATGGCCATTACAATATGTATGTATGTGCACATATATCCCTATGTCCACATACTACAACATATGTAGAAAAAGTCTGAGAGGTTACACAGTAAATTTTGTAGGAGAGCCATTAATAGTAGTGAGAATATGGGTAATTTTTAAATATTTGTTTTAATTCATTTTGTTCTTTATATATCCTAATTTTTAAACTATGATTACAAATTAAAGAAATACAAATTTTACTTTATTTTTTAAAAATGTGTATTTATTTTGAGAGACTGCATGCGTGCATGAGAGGGGGAGGGGCAGAAAGCAAGGGAGAGGATCCTAGGCAGGCTCTGTGCTAGTGCAGAGCCTGACACGGGGCCCGAATTCCTGAACCATGAGATCACGACCTGAGCGGAAATCAAGAGTCAGAGGCTTAGCCGACTGAGCCCCTCTGATGCCCCAAGAAACAAGAATTGTAAAAAGGAGAAGACATTCTTCTATAGTATGCATTTCAGAAAAATTTTCTGATACAGATATATCACATGCCAACTATCCAAGAGAAATGAAAGTTAACTGCTTTTAGATATCGCTGTTGGTTTTTAACAGAAAAACAAAACTACAAAAGAAGAACAAAAGCATTTAGGAGCTTCTTAACCTAGAATCTCAAATAAACATTTTGACGTTCCTTAAAATATAACTTTATATATTAAATTAGTAGGAAAGCACACTAGCAGAAGGCTAGGCAGAATACATTTTCCTTACTTGAATATGTTCACTTTTAAGTAGAGTTTTTAGTTTCTTCAACTCAGGATCGTTTGAATTTTCATGTTTTCCAAAATTAAAAAATAAGAGCCACCGATGATGAGCCAATCGATCCTTAGAAGTGATAAAAAGGGGGGAAAAAGTGAAAAATAATGTCAGAGTCAAGAAATTCTAAGGGTTCTAATCTTTATTTCTTTGACCTAAATTTTAGCCACCTACCCATTACTTCAAAATACTGTCTAAAATTCAGACCCATTCATGCTTATTGTGTATTTCTTTGCAATAATGAAATGTAAATCAATCCTCTATTAAAGAAGATAAAAATCACTAAGTTATAAAATCTTAAAGCAGGCAATTGTACCAAAAAATGTATCTAATTTTAATGATATATAGCTAAAAATTTGGGGGTAGGGAAGTAAACTGTTTTTAGGCTTAGCAGTTTGGTAGGGATATGACTTGGAAGGCTCTGGGATCAAGAAGTAGAAAAAAAAAAAAGTTGATTCTACTGCAAACTGAGTATTGCTAAAGCTGCTTAACTCTCAGTGAACAATATAAATAGTTCTATAAGCAAGAACATAAAATTCCAAAACAGATCCACAGTTGCTTTGTGATAAAAAATCTTGACTTTTCGGACACTCCTGCTGAAAGACGTCATTCAGGACTGGTTAAGTTTTCCTGAACTCTACACCCACCATGAAGTTGCAACTCCAGCAATTAGAGTTTAATATAGAATAACTGATATGTATATGAAATCCTTTGAAACTGCTACTTTCTGTCTAGTGATGAATGAGACAAATGCTGATTTTAAAATGTTAACATGTGAAATGCTACCAACATTTACTACCATTTATCATTAATAGAAATATTACCTCTAGTGTATTTGCCGAAAGTAGTTCAAAATCTGGAAGATTATGCATTATTTCCAAATATATTTCTTTAGCATCCAGTGAATGAAGGAACTAAAATAAAAGAATTATACTGTAATCTTTTTAATCAACACCCATTTATTTTAGTGTCCTTTTTTACAGAGAACTCTTTAAAAAAAAAATCACAAAAGTTAAAAAGTTTTTAAGCTATTTATTCTAAATGTTGTATTTTTAAAAAAGTGTACCATAGTTTGCCAATCATTAAAAAGCTGTGTAACTGGGCTGTTTCTTAAAAACACTGATGTAAAATTACATTATATGGAATTTTCTGTTAATTGTGGTGCGCATTCTATAATAATCTTCATGATAACGTGGAGTAACCTCTGAATTACTGGGGAAAAACTGTATCATGTTCAGATTAATTTTAACGCTCATCATGTCTTGTGGAAGGCCAATACTTTATAAACTTTACAACTCAAGTACTACTTGAAAGATCTGAAACTCCAGTACAAACTTGTTGGAACTACCATGGTGTTCAGGGCTTAACTGTGCTCAACATGGGAGTAACCATTTGGATAGAAATGACGAGTATAACATAATAGAAAATGTTTTTTTCTAAGTTTCTTTCCTTAAAGCTTGTTTTTCTTTTCTTAGATTTTTAGCATATTGTTAAAGATCTATATGAAATATTTTCTGTTACCAAAGGGCTTACAAGGCCCAAACAAAACTTTCATGCCATGGTACTACAGTTCACTGACATCAGTCACATTTATTAGGAAGGTTTTACTAAAAATACTCCTATAGCAGCTTATATAAATATGCAAGTGACTAATCCACTAGAATCTCGTTATAAACCTGTTTGTTGTAGAGTAAAACGTGGTACTTACATTTATAAAGGATATTGTCTAACCTCTGAATTTCTTCCTTCCTCCCTCCCCTCCCTCTTAAAAAAGTTCTTTATTCATTATACACAGAACATGTCTCCTATAAAATATACACATAAATCACTTTTAAAAAGTGTCATTTGATGACCATTTTCTCAATTACAGAACACACTAAATCAGTTGGGACAATAGCTCTGTCTGCCTCAAAATAACCTAATTATAGTACCCAAAGTCCTCTTTATATCTAATGCAAAGTTACAAACTTGTTTTTGGGATTATTTCCCAATATGTGTTTGAGGACACAAAATTAATAATTTAATATAACCTAGTATATTACAGTCACTGCACAATAAATCAGTTTATTACAAACTGAATTTTTTTCATTATTGATGGAATGCAAACAAATACTGGGTACTTTTAAATGGCAGATAGCCACAAAATTACCTTTGATAATGGCATTTTGGGTTTTAGAATTACATTAGGATATGAATGGGGTAAAACATTGTTATAAATAACACATCTTAAAACAATGGGGGCCATACTGTAGTGACTCACTATACTGTGTGGACATTTATCAAATTAAGTGAATTTTCTACCCAATTACCCAGTACAATTTTGTTGACAATAAGGACTCAGTAAATAAATGTTTGCTGAGTATACGGGTTAGGAAAGGGGGAAAAGATGGATGTCAAGTACTATAACTGAAATTTACCTGGGAAGGAGAGTGTTTAAAGAAGATATAAACTACATATGTCATACAAGTAAATAAACTCAGAGGCCAACAAAACAAACCACCAAGCAGAAAACACTGTTGCTAGAATACATAAGGCAAGATTTGCCAATAGTGAAAACGGGACGGTATTTAAGAGATAACCAAGAAGATGTTTATGTTAGACCATATGTTTTCTCAATCAATTCACTTTGAGACAGACCACAAGATATTTCACTTTTTTAAAAACTTGAATGCTTTTAAGAGAGACAAAGACTATTTAATTCATCACTCTCTGTTACTACAGTATTACAGTATTTCCAGAATCACTGATGTATGTCTCCTAGGGTTGCATCTGAGCTTGCAGTTTTATATCAAAAAGCAGAAAGATCTCACTAAAACATAAGACTGTGGTACTGAAGGCAAGAGCCTATGTTAAGGGAAGAGGCATGCTCATACACTGTGGCACAGTATAAATAGAAATTTTCTGTAGGGGCAATCTGGCAAAACAAAATTAAAATTGCCATGGCTATTTCATCTAAATAGGTAATTGAAGAAGTGCACAAAGATGAACAAACATTGTTCATTACAACACTGCTTATAATCATGAAACAGTAGGTAACTTAAATATCAAGAGAGCACTGATTAAGTAGGTCACATTTAGTCAATGGATTGCTACTTAGGGATTGTTGATATGTATATGTATCTCTAACACATAGCATATAATATACATAGGCATTATATATATTGTCCACTTACATGCCAGATAATCTTCTAGGGATTTGACATATAACAGTAAAAACACCCAAATTTAAAAATGTATTGTGGGAGAAAAATAAAAATAAAAAGGTAAGATAATAGTGTATATTATAAGGTGATAAATGCTCTAATAGCAGTGGGAGTGGATTTTAGAAAGATTTTAAAGAACCACAGATTCTCCTGACATAGGTTACAGAATATGAGAAAAATAAGAATTGAGAAGGACTCCAAAGTATTTGGCCTGAATGATACTGGATGGGGTTTTTATCAACTGAGATTGGGAAAACTGTGGGTAGAGCAGATTTATGGGAGAATACTAGGAGTATAGTTACAGCCATCTAAGTTTGAGACATCAATTCATATCCCAGGGGAGATGTGGAATAATTCAGGCAGTAGGATATATATATATATATCTGGAGTGGAGGCCAGAGGTCTGGGCCACAGATAAAACTGGAGAGTTGTCAGCATGAAGTCATAGTTCAGGTATATGTAAGTAGAGATCTGGAAGAGTATTTATCAAGATTTGATGGTGCTTGTCTGTGGGTGATTTGGTTTTAGTGAATTTTCCATCTGTCTTTACACATTTTTTTTTAAGATATTATTTTTAAGTAATTTCTACATGCAACGTAGGGCTTGAAGTCACAGCCCTGAGATCAAGAGTCACATGCTCCACTGACTGAGCCAGCCAGGTGCCCAGCCTGTATACATTTCTATACCCATTAATGAATTTCAGTAATGAATATGTTATTTTTGTCAACATCAAAAAAGCAGAATTAAAATACAGAGACATAAACTTATGAAAGTTTGCCTGTTATTATTTTCTTTTGAGGTTCTTTAGGGATCTATCCAATATCCCATTATTTATCTCAGCTTCTTGATAACTTGCTTGAACCATGGTCTCCTCATTCATAAAATTAGGGAGGTGAACCATACTGGTGATCTCCATACTAAGTGTATACCAGAAAATCTAACAGGGTGCTTTAAAAAAAACAGATACTGACTCAGAGCCAAACCTACAAATGATCTATATTTTAACATTAGAAAATACACACTTAAATGAAAACCAATGAAAATTCATACAACCTAAGAATGTTTTCCACACTTTTGGGCTGTAAATTTTAATGGTTGATACCATTGTAAAAAATAATCCTTGTAAGTAGGCTTTACCATTAAACAGAATCCCAAAAGTTAAATATTTGTTCTAAATACACATTATAAATGGACTCATTTCCTTGTTTACAAAATGGTGTATTATGTTTGAATGCGTGTGCTCACCTATATGTAAAGAAATTAAAGTAATTCATACCAAAACACTGCTTTTCTCTTTGTTATTTAATGTGGCGCCAGGAGGAAAATAGGCAGTAGTGCTTGTCGTAATATCCAAACTTTTACAAAGGTTGTCCTGGGTGGCACAGTCCATCCATCCTATGTTAACAAGACCATCCTACAATGGAAAGCGACAAAAAATAGGTCGCGTGTAAGTAAAAGAGAAAGTTTGAGGGATTTAGCTTTATTCGGAAAGCCCCAACTTTTGTACTTTAAATTTAAAACTTTCAAAAAAGTTTACTTGGAATATAAATGATGCAGATTGGAGTAACATGATTAATAAAGTTGGTCTAATAGATAAAAAAATTATACCTAATATACACAGAAAACATATTGAGCACACACAGATCTTTCACAAATTTCCTAACTGACAAACTCCCAGGCAGCAAAGGGAACTTCAGTAGTGTTACAGTATCAACAACACACATATTATGTCCTCAACCATAGCATGATGAGAGCTAAATATGCAACAAAATAACAAAACATAACAGTACAAAATACAATTTGGAGATGATACGAACACTAAATATAAACTCCTTTGTTTAAAGAAGAATTCATAACTAAATTACAGAATATTCGAAGTGAATAAAAGCACCAAAATTCTAGTTAGGAAGAGAAGTTATAGCTATGAATACACTTATCAAAAAACAAAATTTATAAATAAGTGAGTTAAATGTTCAAGAAACTACAAAGAAATATTTGGAATCAATTTTTAAATGTCTTTCTTAACATGGCCATATAGTTTTGCAAAATAGCTGATGCTTACCAACATGCCACTGAGCCTGAGTCGTGTCTGTGAAGTTAAACAATCTAGGGAGGAAAAAAAAATTATGACATAATTTTAGCTTTATTAAGTCTATACTTCCTTTTGACTCTCCTTCCACAAACTACCATGTTGATTCTAAGGCAACTGACTGGACTCCAATGGCAAGAATGACACATTTACTAAGTTTCATACTACACATGTGCATATACACACACACAAGCACACACGTGCACATGCACTCTCACACATTTTTCCATTCTCTCCTGTTAATTTCCCAAGGTTTCTAGTTAAAGAGAATCGCTTTTGGATCTTACTCTCAAATCTGCTCCTATCAACAATCCCCTTTATTGAAGAGATCTCATGATTTGGGGGAACTAAAATGTCACAAATCTATATGATAAAAACATATAAAGAAACTTTAAAATATAACAGTCTTTTATTTATTTAATTTTAATTACAGTAGTTAACACACAGTGTTAATTTCAGGTGTACAATATAGGGATTAAACAATTAGTGTTTATCATGGTGTACTAAAGTGGTTTTCTCAACACTATTTGTTGAAGGGACTGTCTTTTTCCCATGTATATTCTTGCCTCCTTTGTCACAGACTGAGCATATAAGCATGGGTTTATTTCTGGGTTCTCTATTCTGTTCCATTGACCTATGTGTCTTTTTTGGTGCCAATACTACATTGTTCTGATTATTACAGCTTTGCAGTATAGCCTGAAATCTGGGATTGTGATACCTCCAGTTTTGTTCTTTTTCAATATTGCTTTGGCTATTTGGGGTCTTTTGTGGTTCCATACAAACTTTAGGATTATGTGTTCTACATCTGTGAAAAATGCTGTTGGTATTTTGAGAGGGATTGCATTAAATTTGCAGATTGATTTGGATAGCATAGGAGATTTTAACAACATTTGTTCTTATAATCCATGTGCATGGAATATCTTTCCATTTGCTTGTATCATCTTCAGTTTCTTTCATCAGTGTTTTATAGTTTTCAGAGTACAGGTCTTCCCTTAGTTGAGGGAACTAAACTTAGTTCCCTCCTCCTTACTTGAGATTATTCTTAGGTATTTTTTTTTTTTTTTGGTGCAATTCTAAATTCTTAATTTCTCTTTCTGTGGCTTCATTATTAGTGTATAAAAATGCAACAGATTTCTGTATACTAATTTTGTATCCTGTGACTTACTGAATTTATTGATCAGTTCTAATAGTTTTTTGGTGGAGTCTTTAGGGTTTTCTATACATAGTATCATATCATCTGCAAACAGTGAAAGTTTTACTTCTTTCTTACCGATGTGGATGCCTTTCATCTCTTTTTCTTGTCTGACTGCTGTGGCTATGACTTCTACTAGTATGTTGAATAAAAGTGGTGAGGGGACATCCTTGTCTTGTCCCTGATCTTAGAGGAAAAGCTCTCAGTTTGTCATCATTGAGTGTAATGTTAGCTGTAGGTTTTTTGTATATGACCTTTATTATGTTAAGGTATGTTCCTTCTAAACCTACTTTGTTGAGAGTTTTTATCATGAATGGATGTTGTACTTTGTGAAATGCTTTTTATGTACCTACTGAAATGATCATATCTTTATCTTTTCTCTTGCTGATGTAATGTATCACACTGACTGATTTGCTAATGTTGAACCACTCTTGCATCCCAGGAATAAATCCCATTTGATCATGGTGAATGTTTTTTTTTTTAGTGTACTGTTGGACTCGATTTGCTAATATTTTGTTGAAGATTTTTGCATCTATGTTTATCAGAGAGATTGGCCTGTAGTTCTCTTCTTCTGTAGGGTCTTTTGGTTTTGGTATCAGGATAATGCTAATCTCACAGAACGAATATAGAAAGCTTTCCTTCCTAAAATATTATACAATCTTAAAATAACTTTGTCTTCATTTTCACGGAAGCTCTTAAAATATGAATATTGGGATACAATGAGACAGATTTAGAAGGAAACTGTAGCACCACAGAGCCTATAAAGACACGTAAAATCAATTTACCTGGGATGAAAAGTAAAAGAATATCAGAAAGTTTAAGTTTTCTTAATATGTGGAATGAACAGAAATTTGTGCATTAGGCCAAAATGGAACAAAATCCCTCACTGTTAGACTAAGGGTTATTTTTGCTTAAAGGCAATACCTTCCTAACATGGGTCTTACAGGATAGGGTGAGTGATTCATTTTAGCTGCAAGGCAATTCATTTGCAACAGAACAGTATAAAGCTGATAGGTAAAGTTTGGGTTAAAGACCCATGTTAGGATTAAACGTATAAAAACATGTTAATGAATTTTGTTAACACTGGGCCAATCTCATTGTTTGAATGGAGTTTGTGGTTTGGTACATGGGGTACTGAATTTTCAAGTTAATTTACTGGTGGAAAGGTTCCTAGAAATGGAAAGTTATAATCTTCAAATATATAATTTTATAAGGCAAACATACATACATTTTTTATATGTTAAGTATGAAGAAAAGTCCATAATACCAAAAAATTATTATTTGGGGAGGGTTACATCTGTCAACAACTACAAGTGGGAGAGGGGCAGACAGAAAGAGAGACAGAGGACCCAAAGCAGGCTCCACACTGTCAGAACAGGGCCCCGATGCGGGGCCTGAATTCACGAACTACAAGATCATGAGCTGGGCCGAAGATGGAAGGTTAATCAACTGAGCCACCCAGGCGTCCCAAGGACTAATCATTTTTGCAAACTGCCAAACACATCTGTGGCTATCTGAAGGTATAATTATAATGAGTGTAATTAAGCTGGAAAACTTGTCCACCAAACAAAGTTATAAATGAAACTTTAACAAATTAATAATTTTATAACAAGTGTAAAATAACAAAAAAAGGTAGATATTCATTAAATAAAAAATTATGCTCAGATATATATTATAGTTTGAAGTACTGAATAATCAATTATGGTAGCATACTTAAGACTGACACCTAGTCAAAGGGTACAAGCTTCCTGTTATAAGATTAACAAGTTCTGGGAATGTGATGTAGAGCATCGTGTTTATAACTAATACTACTATATTATACACTCAAAAATTGCTAAGAAAGTAGATTTTAAATGTTCTTATCATGAAACAGAAATTGTCCTTATGTGACAGGTTGGAGATGTTAGCTAATGCTATGGTGGTAATCATTTTGCAATATGTCAATTTGTAGTATATCAATAGGTTGTATACCCGTAAGTTACACAATGTTATAAGGCAATTATATCTCAATAAAACTGAAGAAAAAAATATTGCCACCTAAAAATTAAGTGTTATGATTTCTTCAACATAACAAAGTAACAAATAAAATTACCTCCTCCTTTGGAACAAAAAGTGATCAGCCAGCCAACACCAGCAGCAAAAGCAGTTTCTATGGAGTTAACAAAATTTCCTTAAAAGAAAATAAAGCAAATTACCTATTTTTTGAATTCCGGAATTCATAAAAATCCTCTTGAAGCATGTCAAATTCTTACACTAACTCTCCATTGTTTTCATCACATAAAATCTAAATTCATAATTTCATTAAGAAAGAAACTAAAACTGGCAACCAAGGACACTGTGGTCTGAGCTTTGTCTGCCCATTCAGCTAGCAATGTCTCCCCCCAGGCCACTCCACTCACTGCCCATCTTTTTGTCAGATTCATGATGAAGCACTGCCAGTCTACCAAGTACACAGTGATCTTTAAAGGCTTCATTTTCATGACAGGTTGGGTCTGACTTCATTCAAGAAGTCTTTTCTAACCCTTCCTCTCTTCCACATCTGAGTTCTTTTATGTTCTTCATGTTTCTCTAAGACTGCCTCTATCATAGTAGTTACTACATTGCATTTTAATGGTTTTACTCACGCCTTACTTGCTAAAATAATGAGGCCCTTGAAGCAGGGATTATATATTTTATTACTGCAGCTCTAACATTTAACACAGTTTCCAAGACGTAATTTGTATTTAATGAATGACATAAACACCTTACTAGATGTGAATACTACCATTTCATGTAGCACAGAGTAGTTAAATAATCCACCTAAAGTCACTTGATAAGTCAGAAGTCTAAGATTAGAAGTAAGAGTTTTTAAACTTTAAAATTACACTGGATGGGCAGGAAGTGATGGCCTGATGCAGTACACTTATGAGAACAATAAAACACTTCGTTACCCAGACATTCAGTTCTACTTTGAAAGTTGTTTCACCTCACATCACATCATATTCATTTCCCACATCTTAACTGTTTGTTCTATACAAATAAGATTCATTTGTTAAATGCCAATTATTTAGCAGAGGTCAGAATAACAAAATTCCCTTCTAAAAAACATGGAAAAGATACGTTAAAATTTCAATATGACCAAAATGTTAACCCTGTTACTGGAGAAAACTTAAAATACCATTTTCAAAGTATCCTTGAAAATAAAACAAATGAAGAAAATAAAATTACCTGTCCATAATTCTGTCACTGTGCTTCTAACATGCTGCATGGCAAAATTCACCAAACTTTCCTTTGATCTGTCACCATGATATTTCACTGCGGCCTATTATTATTTTTTTTTTTTTGTAAAAAGAGAAGCATCTTTTACTATTTCTTTTAAAAATTCACTGAAAGTATTACTGAATACTTTTAATTGTACATTATTTTATATACAATAAGCACTCTCTCTCAAGAGTTCAACATTTATAATGGTTAAATTGTGTTAAGACAGAAACTGATGGCAAACATTTAATTTTGAAGTAAAAAAGGTCAAAGTAATGGCATTGAATGTATTTATAACATAATCCAAAATGTTTACTATGACTAGAGCCTAGGTAGATGGCACCTAAAATAGGATTTAAAAACCAAAACATTCTACAAAACGACATATTGGTTTTTCACTAGTATTTTTATCATTAAGGTTCCAAATGAAAAAAATGCCAACTTTATCCCTTACCATTCCAGACCTAAAAATGAAGAGGCTGGGATAACTGTTGACTCCTTTCATTCGGCAAAGCATTCTATCATCGCCACAGTTAACAGCACCGATTCGAAGTAATCCATCTACTTCTTTAGCAAAGTCTCTCCACTATGAGAAAAAATGAACAAGTATTTCTCTGATAAGATAATCTGTCTTTGCTTGAACACTCTCCAAGCTATACATTTTTAAAGGAGAGTATTTTTATTTATTTATTTATTTATTTATTTATTTATTTATTTATTTATTTATTATGTATTATTAGTATTTTAAAATCATACAAGTATGCAGTATTTGATAACTGATAGTTATCATTACTATTAATAGAAAAAAATCCTCATACGTTAAAAAAGCACTCAACAGATTAGAAGTAATAAAACTTTAATAATCAGGATGTAAAAAATACATACTGTGGGAGCTAAATCATGGCAGTGTGAACATCCTGGGGAGTAAAAGTTCACAAACCACAGTTCTCCAGAATTAACAGCAGCATCTAAAGTATATAAAACCAAAACAACTTAGAATTATTTATTAAAGGTTTATACATACTTTAAAGTTTTGTTAAGATCAGAATGAAAAAGGCAGGCCTATATCTTTCATACTGCCTTTGTCATTTTCTATACAAGTTTTTCTATAAAAAGAGAACAGACTACAGTTGACCCCTGACCAACATGGATCTGAACTGTGTAGTCCACTTATATGTGTATTTTTCTGATACAGTATAGTACTGTAAATGTATTTGCTCTTATGATTTTAATAATTTATTCTCATTTACTATAAATATATAGTACATAACATATATGAAAAATATATGTTAACTGTTATGTTATTGGTAAGGTTTCTATCAACAGAAATCTATTAATAAGTTTTGGGAGAGTCAAAAGTTTTATTTGGATTTTCAACTGCAGAGGCAGGGGGCTCAGTTCCCCCAACCTCCTCATTATTCAAGGGTCAGCTGTATATCAGCTATCAAACTGACAATACCTTAAAAAAAAACCTTTTAAGCACAAACTTGAATAAAGAGTGACCCTGAGCTTCAGGACACTTGTCACCGTGAAACTGTGAAAAGAGGTGGCACAAGGCATCAGCAGCCAAACCTCATCCAGGAGTTTGTGTGGATGAGAGAGATGAAGAAGAGAAACAGTGAGAGATGGGGACTGAAGTTCATTTACTATCTGCAGCACAGCTTAAATACCTGTGTCAGTCAATTCCAACAGCTACTTCAAATTCTGAGGGGATGAAAGACGAGAACTACACAATATAGTAGGACTGTGGGGATTAAATTTAAACTTTGCCCTTAAGTCATTTACCTTGGAAAACTGTATTATTAAAAAGTATTAGATCAAGGTTTTTAACAATTTAAAACAAATATGTATTTGTTAAGCTAATGGATCTGAATACCACATGATATCCAGCCAACAACACATTATGCATTATAATCTATAAAATGACCGATGCAAACTCTTAGAGAACACAGGCAGTAATTTCTTTGGACACTGGCTGTAGCAACACTGTTCTACATATGTCTCCTAAAGCCAAGGAAACAAAAGCAAAAATAAACTACTGGGATTACATCCGAATAAAAAGCTTTTGCATAGCAAAGAAACCATCAACAAAAGAAGCAACCTCCTGAATGGGAGGAGATATTCACAAATGATATATCTGATAAGGGATTAATATCTACAATATATAAAAAGCTTATCCAACTCAACACCAAAAAAGCACACAATCTGATTAAAAATGTGCAGAGAATCTGAACAGATGTTTTTCCAAAGAAGACAGACAGATGGCCATTAGCCATATGAAAATCACTAATCATCAGAGAAAAGCAAATCAAAACCATTATAAGATATCACTTTACACCTGTCAGAATAGCTAGAATCAAGAAGACAAAAATAACAAATGTTGGTAAGGACATGGGGAAAAGGAACACTGGTGGACTGTTGAGGAGAATGTAAATTGGTGCAGAGGGGATCCTCAAAAAATTAAAAACAGAAGTACCATATGATCTGATAATTTCACTACTGGGTATTTACCTAAAGAAAACAAACACACTTATTTGAAAGATAACATGCATCTTTTTGGTTATTGCAGCATTATTTGTAACAGCCAAGATGTGGAAGCAGCCCAAGTATCCATTGACAGATTAATGGATTTAAAAATGTGGTGTACATGGGGGCGCCTGAGTGGCTCAGTCAAGCATCCTACTTCGGCTCAGGTCGTGATCTTGCAGTCCGTGAGTTCAAGACCCACATTGGGCTCTGTGCTGATGGCTCAGAGCCTGGAGCCTGCTTTGGATTCTGTGTCTCCCTCTCTCTCCGCCCCTCCCCTGCTTACTTTGTCTCTCTCTCAAAAATAAACATTAAAAAGGAGATCCTGCCATTTATGACAATATGGATGAACCTAGAGGGTATTACGCTAACTGTAATAAATCAGAAAAACAAAACAAAACAAATGAATAAACAAACAGCAGAATCAGACATATAAGTACAAACAGACGGTTTCCAGTGGGAAGGAAGGTGTGAGCAAAGGGTAAAATGGGTGAAGGGAAGTGGGAGATACAGGCTCCCAGTTATGGAATAAGTCACAGGAATAAAAGATAGTTGTAGAGAATATAGTCAACAGTGTTGTAATAGAGTTACACAGTGACAGATGGTAGCTACACTTGTGGTGAGCGCAGCATCATACAGAGTTGTTGAATCACTTTGTTGTATACCTGAAACTAATATAACACTCTGTGTCAACTATACTCTAAAAATAAACAAAAACTTTTTTAACCCTGTAAGGATGCACTCTAACATTCAAGGTAAAAAGGCAAAGACAATTTGCTTTTGGTATAAGTGTTTCTGTATAATTCCATTATCAAAATCAGTTATTAGTAATTTTAAGTAAGTTTCATAAATTATGTAATTATAGTAAGATACCAAAATAAACATACCATTTTATTTATTATTATTTTACTATTTATTTTTGAGAGAGACACAGAATGTGAGTGCAGGAGCAGCAGAGAGAGAGGGAGACACAGAATCCAAAGCAGGCTCCAGGCTCTGAGTTGTCAGCAGAGCCCCATGCAGGGTTTGAACTCAGAGACCGCAAGATTATGACCTGAGCCAAAGTCAGATGCCTAAGTGACTGAGCCACCCAGGAGCTCCTCAAACATACTATTTTAAATATGCATAACTAATTTAGGTTAGATAGAAATGCACAAGATTCAATGTTTACCTTCAATTTTAAGACACATGGATCTATGGAAAAAAAAGTTAATCTGTATATTACAGGTAAAGCGTATAATTTAGGATAAGTTGTTCCATGGCAATGTTTAGAAAGTATGACCAACAGACCACTCTAAGTGGTTGAAATAATTGCCACCCTGACTTAGGCCCCCAACTGGTAATAATTTAGGTGAAATTTAAATAAACTTAGTGCAGACTTTAACAGAAATGGGATTATTTCATTAGCTATAAATAACTAATGAGGTGGGTATTTATATATGAAAAGATAAAGTAATGATTAGACAAAATAGGACTGTTATAAGTCTTCAATAAAAATATGACATATAACAAATCTGAATGGCATTTGACACAAAACCTTGTTCAGAGGGAAAAAATGTCTATTTGGTACTTCGTTTTCATAGAGCACTTCTATCACGTTTGCTCGGTTCCCACTCTTGTTGACTAAGATTAAAAACATTCTTAATGCCATGTTATTAAAGCTCAATGGGATGTTTTTCCAAAAACCCAGCAACATAGAATAAAACAAGTATATTTTAAAACGTGACACAGCTAATAACTTTGTGGCCCAGAAAAATGTCAAAATAGGATGAGGTCACAAAGAGAAAAGATAACAGAGATAGACCTAAGAGTGAAAAGCATAAATTACAAAGAGAAAACTAAAGTATAGGGTATAGGTCAATAAGAAAACATTGATGAATAACTCTTAGGCTAATAGGTTTATTTCCCTTAAAAAAAAAAAAAAAAAAAGAGTAGCACAAGCATGGGCTTTGACATGAATTTGAGCGCATGTCCTGTCTTGTACTGTGTCAGTCAGGAAAGGTTAAGCTACAGAAAACAGATGATTCCAATTATGTCATGGGCTGACAATAAAGGTTTATTCTACCATCTATCACAATCTTATACTAAGTTGGCTGCAACGCTCTTCCAAATCATTTCACCGCTGACCCCTGGCAGGGAGAAGGCTCTATTTTGAACATTCTTATTTCTCACGACAGAGCAAAATGGTGAACACATGCTAGCTTTTAAAGCTTCTGCCCAGGGGGCACCTGGGTGGCTCAGTCGGTTAAGCGGCCGACTTCGGCTCGGGTCATGATCTCAAGGTCTGTGAGTTCGAGCCCCGCATCGGGCTCTGTGCTGACAGCTCAGAGCCTGGAGCCTGTTTCAGATTCTGTGTCTCCCTCTCTCTGACCCTCCCCCGTTCATGCTCTGTCTCTCTCTGTCTCAAAAATAAATGTTAAAAAAAATTAAAACAAACAAACAAACAAAAACCTTCTGGCCAGAAGTGACATCCATCACGTCTGTTCACATTTCATCAGCTAAAGCAAGTCATATAGTCACGCCTGAGTTCTACAGAGTGGGATGTATAATTCTCCATCACAAAGGAGCACCTCAAGGATAAACAATCAACATAGATAATTAAAATAAAATACACCACAAATACCTATTAGCTGAACTTAAGCATAGGTTTTCTTCCTGAAATGCAGTTTGTAATTTCTGAAAATAAAACTAGTAATATCGAGGACTGTTGTGAGGATTAAATATGATAAATATTAATTGCCTGGAATAGGAACTTTTGCTCACTAATTATAGCAGTATTTTAATATCATTCTCTTCTACTTACCTACAAAACATTCTAATATGACCACATATTAGTTGACAGGACTTTGTTGTAACAACTCAGAGGCAGCACAGGGCCTGCTGGCAGACAGCACTCTTTTGAAACAACAACAGCTCTATGACACTATACTTTAAAAAAAAACTTTGCCACAATTTTTGTCCCTCAGAATGAAGCCTTTTAGAGGATATTTAATTGTTCATTGATTCATTTTATTGACTGAGGAATAATTCACTCCCTGATATATTGTGGAAAAAAGGTAGAAAATGTAGTATATTAGTTAAAGGAAGTTTGTGTAATTGTTTCCAATGCTAGAATTTCATCATTCTTGGTCCAAGGAAAAGGGTTCCAAAAAAAAAAAGCCTACATCGATGAGAAGCAATCCAGTATAGCCCACATTCCTGAGATTCTTCAAAACCTAACTAAGGATCCAGTTATTGCACCTACTCTAGCAAACAAGGCCCAGAATATTCAGAAATTCACCCTTTATGGGCTGTGCTTTGCATCATTTCCAACACACTGAATGGAAAGTTTTGCTAGGTGCCCTTATACCTTGTGTTACCTAGCGTAAGTATGTCTGGTTCATGATAAGAAGACCCTGAAAATAACACTACTCTCCAAAGAAAAGTTTTCTGACAAACTCTA